ATAATCGGAAAGTTCTTAAGTTAGCTCCTAACCCCCGAAGGCATAAAGGCGAACCCAGACGAAATTCAAGTGCTAATTGACATGCCAACCCCAAAAAATACCGAAAATGTTCAGAAGTTAACTGGTCGGATCACAACCCTTAACGGGTTCATCTTAAGGTCGTATGACAAGTACGTAGCTTTCTTCAAAACCCTCAGGAAAGCCAAAAGTTTCAGGTCGAATAATGAGTGTCAACAAGTCTTCCAAAACCTAAAGGAATCTCTATCTTCACTGCCGCTCCTCCAAAGTCCAAAGTCAAATGAAGAATTCTCATTATACTTGGGAATGGGAGCTGAGGCAATCAATGCGGTGCTGGTCGGGGAGGAATTGGGAAAGCAATTCCCGGCCTACTACACAAGTTGTGTTCTCCGAAAAGCGGAGGTCAGGTATCCAATTATGTAGAAACTAACATTTGTTTTAATTTTGTTGGCCCGTAGGTTGCAACCTGGGTGATTTCGGATCAACCTCATAAGTAGGTGCTTACCCGGCCAAAACACTCCAGTCGGCTACTCAAGTGGGGAGTGGAGCAAAGCGAGTTCGAAATCGCATATGTCCCTGGACGGCCATCAAAATATAGACAGTTACAGAATTTCCAGCAAATTTCTCGGAACAAGAAAGACCAAGTGAAGATGTTCAAAGCAATCAGCAGAAGCAACTCTTGTACGCCGACGGTGCCTCGAACATAACCAAAGAAGGATTAGGGCTTGCTTTGAGCAGCCCCGCAAGAGACTACTTGTACCACTCAGTGACTCTAGAATTCGAGGTAACAAATAACTAGATAGAGTACAAGACTTTGATTGTCGACTTACATCCAACCTATGAGATGGGCGCCCGGTTCCTCATTGTGAAATCAGACTCACTACCGGTAGTGAATCAAATAAATGGAGAATTTAAGGTTAGAAATGAAGTAATTATAAATTATCTCAACAAAGTCGAGGCAATTTTTTGAAAATTTGTAGAGTTTCGGATCAAACATGTCGGCAGAGAAGAAAATCAGGTAACTGACTTGCTGTCCAAATGTGTTCTCTTGGGAAACGGGACACCGCAAATTCTCAGTCGACCGATCATCAAAGAACCGAAGGGGATGGTAGTATAAAGTGAAGAAACCAAAAGTTGGGTTGACCCCTACGTCAAGTACTTAGAAACAGGAGAATTTGCAAATTAAATAATGAACCTCAGAAGATTTAAGTTCAAATTTGTTTAGTACCTGTTGATAAAAGGAACACTTTTCTGAAAACCAACATCGTTGTATCTAAGGTGTATAAAGGAAAATGAGGTGAAAGACATTCTTTAGAAAATTCATTTCGGGGAGTGTGGGAGCCACTCAGGAGGGAAGACATTGGCACACCGGGTCCAACGACATGGGTATTTCTAGCCCACGATGTTTAAAGAAGTTGAAGCATTCTCTGGGAGGTGTGAGCAATGATAAAAATATGGGTCACTACAATATCAGCCAGCCCACAAACTCCAACGAATCCCCAGCCCATGGCCTTTCGCTGTCTAGGAATTGGACATCCTGGGGTCATTTTCACCTTCCAAAGAACAACGTCATTTCCTCCTGGTAGCAGCGGATTATTTTTCGAAGTGGATCGAGACCAAAACTCTCGCCTGAATCACTGCGGATATCGTCCAAAACTTCATCTGGACCCATTCGATATGTTGCAACAGCCTACCATTGGTTAACATCATAGATAATGGGACACGGTTCGCAAACAAAAAGGTTTGAATGTTTTTGCCAACATCAAGGAACATGTCTTAAATTTGCTTCGGTCCATCATCCTCGGACTAACAGCCAGGCTGAGGCAGCTAACAAAATTATTCTCAACCGTTTGAGAAAGAAAGTGGAAAGAGAGAATGATAGCTGGGCGGATAACCTTTCGTCTGTTTTGTGAGCCATTCATACAACTCCTTCCACTGAACCGGTCAAACGTCGTCCATGCTCTCACATGGAATGGAAGTCATGCTACCGATAAAATACAAATTTAGACCGTCGGTCCTTTACTTTGCTCTTGAACCCGATCAACTGGAGTTTCAAGCTGGATGAAAAAACAGCATAACTCGTCCAATTTGAATCCGATAAAATCTAAGAGTAATTTGATGGACCAGAGAAGTTTCACCCACTAGAGGGGCATGACGAATGTCATGATTATTGCCACCAAGTTTGGCGCAACCTGCACCAGAATAATATCGTAATGGTTGAAGACGGCCCGAAGTTCGTGATAGAAAGGCAACCACAACCCGTACTTAAACTGGTCCACATGACCAAGCAATGTCTGAACACTCCAGTCTCTCTCTCATCCTTCTCTGTTGTTCTGAGGCTCACAGAGTCCCCAAAAACAAATGACCACTGAAGGACTTCAATCTATCTCGCAGTCACCACATACTCCATGCACGAGGATCGCCCCAAACAACTCGAAAGGGTATTTCGATGCCACAACTAGCGAGAAAGAAGAAGGGAAAAGATCACATAGAGGGAAAATAAAGGAAAAGTAGGGCTCTTCCG